ACTTGACTTGACTTTGACTATTGTGATGTTCCACATAATCCTAACCTTAACCTTAACCCAAAACCTAATCCTAACTCTAAACCTGGCCCTAATCCTAAACCTAACCTTAATCTCAACCCAAACTTTGGGTGAGAAGAAACCTATGTACTATGACTTACAGTGGACTATAGTACAATTATGTTCCCCAACTAAAGGTGCTGAAGACGAACCCTTGGGGATACCACTGCCAACCATGAACAACTAATTTCTCAGATATGGATTTGCTTGTAAACATTGAATTCCAAGATTGTAGTTGGCATTTTGGACATTAAGTGTGCTAGAACTACAGTCATATAGTCCATATAGTCATAGAGTCCCATATGAAAGTAAATTTAAATTTGAACACATCATCCTCAGAAAAAAAAGTACTAAAATTTACTCAGGTGAGGAGAGGAGAGAAGAAGCAGTTGTCATGAGGATTGGTAAGAGAAATGTTAAGCACTACAGTTAATCTAATGCAGTGGTGGGCAGCAGAGTGGTGTCATCGTTTTATGTGCCCATCTTGTCTGTATACAAAGCCGAGTGATTATTATGTTTCTCTCAGTCTAGCACAAACCACAGTGGGAAAAATTTTAGTTCATGAATTTTTCATCTTCATAGAGGTGTGTCTGCATCAGCAGTAGATGGTGTTGGCTGGAGGTGACGGATCCTATCTATTGGTGATGAGTGTTGCAAGACTTACCAACTTCTTTTACTTTTAGGAACATAAAAATATGTAGGTCATTAAGCTTCAAGCCTGTGTTTCTTTTTTTGTTTCTGTTTTCATAAAAAGAAGAACCATAAAACACAAAGAATTAATCTTTTGATACAATCTTAATTTTTTAATATAATTTTGTTACAATATTCATCTAAAAATGTAACTGTTGAATGGAGTGATCAATAGAAGAACATCAAATCTTTTCAATGCATGGACCAACCAATGAAAAGTGTAAACAGCCTTCAGTGTCAAAGTTCTCTTCTAATCTTTAGTGTGTTTAATTATATAGACAAAATGCTTGAAAGATACTTTCTTGAAAAACAAGATTATTTCAGATACACAACAGAAGGCCAGAACAGTTATTTTCTATTGGTATTATGGATTAGCAGTCAGAGTCTGGAGTGTGTTTCCAAACAGCAATGCAAATCACTGGTTGACTGAATCTAAATGGCTGTTGTGATGTTCCAGACTCTGGTAGACGCAATCTGATTGGCTGTTGTGATGTTCCAGACTCTGGTATATGTAATCTGATTGGCTATTGAGATGTTTGTCTTGTGTGACCACACATTTATCCTCCTAGTAATCTACATTCTTCTCCAAATATTCTGTAGCAAACTTCAAATGAGCTCTTTTTGAGTGGTGCTTTGCTCTTGGGCTACTCTGATTATCTTTCTAGTCATAAATCATGTGAGGAGTTCCTGGTTGATGTTTGAGTGATGTGGCATCCAGTTGTGGAAAACGGCTCCAATAGTGCTTATAAGAACATTTAGGAGTTGACCTAAATGTTCCTACCAACATAACCTACCAACATGCACTAACCCAGCTAATTCTGATTAGCACAGGCAGGAGAACTATTTAGTGAAATCAGGGGCTTTAATGCTTTTTTCCCCTGTTATTCCATTTTATTGCTCAGTAATTTTTATGGATTGGAATGATTTCTTTAAAGGAGTATTCCACCAATTTTTTCACCATTGTGATATAAACAAAGTCCTTCAGAATGGTTTCATATGAGATTTATTGCAAAGAAAGTTAACCGACAGCCTCCAATTTCTTAACAGTAGTGATGATATGAACCAGAGGTCACAATGTCTACACCGCAAATACAGCCATTTTATTTACTATGCAAACCACCAGTGAACCTTCACGTGTCTTCTGACCCTTTATATGTAGTGTTGATGATGGTAAAGTAGTGCTAAAACTTTAGGGACCATTTCAGCTTACAACATCTGCATATATCCCTCTGCCATAAATGGATAAAAAGAAATGGATTAGCAGAACATTTTAGACTAAATCTTGATCTCAAAAGTATTGTAAAACAGTATCTCAGGCATCAAGCAGTGTATTCATAACCATTTTATATAATAACTCTCTGTGAAGGAACTTTTAGAGGTATTAAACTCTTCAGACGTCTGGTTCCTATCATCAGCACGGTGAAGTATTCTGACTCTGTATGTTTCTCTAGAACGGAGCGTTTCACACCAACCCACTCTGATTGACTTTGTTTACATCTTAATTATTTAATTAGATCTATTCTCTTGATGTCCCTCTGGTTTGGTAATTCTCTCATCCCTGGTTCTGATCCTTGCCTGTTTTTTTGACCATGTCTGTTGATCATCCTGATTCAAGAAAAGCTCACTGAGTGATTTTATCCACAAGCATCTGACTAGTTCTGTCATGTTACATATTCTTAGGTTATAGAAGTGTGTAATGAAACTTTGGGCCTGTTTAAACTTTATAAAAAGTGAAAAAGAAGGACTGCAGTAAAAGGTTAATTTAGGGTGTTATTAGGGGTTCCTTTTTTAAAAACAGAAATAAAAAAGAAACGTCGACTTTAAGCTTCATGTCCTTCATATATTTTTATGTTTCTGAAAATTAATGCAGTTAGTAAGTACTGTAACACTCAGCACCAACAGATAAGATCTGTCACCTCCAGCCAACACCATCTACTGCTGATGCAAACACACCACAGTGACAGTGTTAGAGAAAAAAGCAAAGAGTAAGGGGAAGAAACTTTGAGAGGAACCAATAACCAAAAAGGGAGCCCATCCCCCACTGCTCAGCACCAGACAGCACAAAAAATAACAGAGTATGAATAGAGGATAAGATATTACAGTATAAAATACTGAATACAGAGAATAAGGAAAAAAGAAACCAGCCTAGTATTTTGATTAAGCACAGATAACTGATGACCTCTGTTAGAGGCCTATCAGAGTAACAATGAGAAATAGATCTATGAAAACAGCCACTGTTACCAGTGAAAACCACTGACTACTTTTAGTAAAAAGAGAGCCAGAAGGTAACAGAGACCTAATGGCTCCCTCAGATGTCAGAGAGTAGACATCACTGACATTATCCATTTACCGTAATACTCTATGTCCATGAATCCTCAGATATGCACCTTTTATCTAACAGGAAAAACTAATTACCAAAGTTTTGACTAAACAAGAGGTTTTTAGCCTAGACTTAAAGAATGAGGTTGTCTGAGTCCCTGAACTGCTGGGGGGCTTTGTATGACAAGGCTCTCCCCCCTGATGTAACTTCATTAACTCAGTGAACTAATAGTAAACCAGCACCTTGTGATCTAAGTAGGCATGATGGTTCATAATAAGAGATAAGTTCACTCAGGTACTGAGGGGTGAGTCAGTTTAGAGCTTTATATGTACTCAGTGTAGAATTTAATTGACGTAGTGTTGGAAAAACTGGACTGATATGGTTAAACTTTCTAGTCATTTTAAGGACCTCCAGAAGGGTCTTTATAAAGGTGTCATAACTCGAAGTCTCAAAGCTTTCCTTTTTTCCCCACTGTGTTTCGTGCTGGACTGAGAGAAAGAATGAGAAAGAGAGCATCACATTCAGAGAGAGAGAGAGAGAGACAGAATGATGAAGTAATGACGTACGTGTAACTGGTGAACTTTGATCTCTGTGTTTCTGTCATAGGAATTTTATTCTGACACCAGACATAAGACAGACTTTTAGTATTGGTTAGTAAGCCCTTGCTTCTTTTCTCCTGTCCTCACTACATATAAAAAGATTATAAAAAGATACTCTTAGTTGGCTAAGGTGTAAAGCATGCTGCCACTGGACTCATTTTCTGTGGAGTGACGAATCACGCTTCCCTATCTCTCAGTGTGATGGACGAGACTGGGTTTGGTAAACGCCTGGAGAACATTACCTGCCTGACTGCACTGTGCCAACTGTAAATTTTGGTCTAGGAGGGATGATGCTATGGGGTTGTTTTTCAGGGGTTGGCCTAGGGACCTTTAGTTCCAGTGAAGGGAAATCTTAATGCTTAAGTAGATTAAGAGATTTTGGACAATTCTATGCTTCCAACTTTGTGGGAACAGTTTGGGGAAGAACGTTATCTGTTCCAGCATGACTGAGCCCCAGTGCACTAAGCAGCTCCATAAAGACATGGCTGGGTGAGTTTGGTGTGGAAGAACTTGACTGGCCCTCACAGAGCCCTGACCTCATCCCCAAACACCTTTGGGATAAACTAGAATGGAGATTGCAATCCAGGCCCTCTCGTCCAACATCAGTGTCTGATGTCACAAATGCTCTTCTGGATGAATGGACAAAAATTCCCACAGCTACACTACAAAATCTTGTAGAAAGCATCCCAGAAGAGTGGAAGCTGTTATAGCTGCAAAGGGGGACCAACTCCATATTAATGCCTATGGATTTAGAATGGGGTAAAATATAAAAGCACCTGCAGGTGTAATGTGTAGGTGTCCCAATACTTTTGTCCATAGAGTTTATATAAACCTGGTACTTTTTCATGCACTGAGAATGTAGAATTAATAAAGATAACACATGAGGCACAATGTGATACATGATCTCATATAAGACAAAAGTCAAGGCAGGTGAAGGGGAGGAGACTTATCAGAGGGAATAAGGTGAAGGGGTACATCCTGACATCTGACAACTGCCCAAATATATGGTGTTACAAAGTATATGTTATGTTTTATGTTGTAGTTACAACATAAAACATAACATATACTTTGTAACAGCATATATGTTGGCAGTTGTCAGACGTCAGGATGTACCCCTTCACCTTATTCCCTAACTACAACATAAAACATAACATATTTAGATTTTACTGTATTACATATGAGCAGAAGAAGTACATATAAAAAAAGTGTGAAATCATTGTTGTGACATCTCTATGACACTTCCTCTTCACCATGTCACATCAAGGAGGAGGTCTCTAGACAGTTTAAACAGAGATCAAACGATCGTCTTCAGTTCATTGATGGTCAGTCAGTCGTACAGAGACGTGTTTCAGGAATAGTAACTATTATTAATGTAGTCTTATTAGTCAGAATGAGAATCATCTCAGTGATCCTCCTCTTCTCTTTCACAGCTGGTGAGTTTTTACTTTCTATGCTTCTTATTTTACTACTCACTACATCAACTCACTGTATTTTCTCCTATCTCTCTTTCTTTCTTTCTCTCTCATTCTTTTTGAAAGAAGTTCCCTTACATTGTTTGTATCTAAAGTTCAGTAACCTTTTTTTATGAGAATGCTGTGTTGAAAATTGAAATGATAACTTTTATAAGGAACTTGTGGCTGTAGTTCTAGCCCAAGGTGGGAAATAGCAATTAAATTTTCTTGTTACTGTGCTACTTATGGTATTTTTTGTAGTTTAATCAAAGTACTTTTATCTTCAGTTCATTTCTAAAAAAAAAAAAACAGCCATTGTTTTAAGACACAAGAAATGATTTGTTGTCCTTAAGTGCTGTCATTTGTTTCAGTTTGTTAGTTTGTCAGTTTCATGGAGTTTGAAGATCCACTTACAGTTCAGAAACATAACTGGGGACATTTAAAAGTGGGACAATGTCCTGTAAAGTGTGTTTGTTTCAAAATATTCTACACCTTATTTTAAAAATATCATATCAATAGTTTTCTGTAAATTTGGTTACAACTTACAATTATCTTTTACTACACTGGACCTCATGGAAAATTCAAAGGAAACATCATAACATTACTTTAATTCATTGACTCATCACAGGTAAGACATAAATAGAAATTAAACATTTTTCTCTCCCATCTTTGTAGTGTGTTTTTGCCTATGAAGATTTGGCTGAGGTTCCTCGTCTTTGCACATTGCAGCTGTCTGATTTTATCTTAGTATGTCATCTTCTTTGGGTTTGTCTGCTGCGCCTTACCCTAGGATGATTAATGTAAGGCTTAGATTTTGAGTTTGCTGTGCTGTTTTTTCCTCTTTGTACATTCAAGCTGTCTGATTATCTCTGATATGGCATCTTCATTGGGCAAATGTGCCTTTTGTGAGCAGACCCATGCTTTCTAATGAAGGGGGTTGCAGCATTGGTAGACTCTATTGTTCTGGCAGAACTTTTGCTAAAGCTTCCATCTCCACAAGCCTTTCATGACAACTGAAATAAACCTACATAAACACTTATAAAGGGCTTATCCCAATAAGCCATAGTTTCAACTTCAATGTCAAGCTAACATAGCTTCTGTGTAAAGTGACAGGTTTTTGTTCACATTAGGTTGTCATAACACTTTCTGGGGTGATGTGACACAGCAAACTATGAGAGCCGACTGTAGTTCAGTGTATTTTTGGTATGTCAAACACATAATGGTGATTATTCAATTCAATTCAATATTATGATATTATATTACATGTTATAGTATAAAAAAAAATGTTCAGGCTACTTCACTGGGGCATTAAGACATGAGGACATGAATACACATGTACTAATGGGAGAACAGACAATATATAAACCCTTCTGGAAAAGTTGGGAAATTTTTAAAGTGTAGCAAAAACATATCTGTGACTTTTTAATTCTCTTGAACCTTTGTTGAACTAACAATAGTAATAAGAAATGACTTTTAATGTTCTGGCTGAGAAACTTGATTGTAATTTGTAAACATAAACAAATTTTAAACTTGATGCCTGTAACATACTAATAAAAAGTGAGGACAGGGATAAAATAAGAGTGAAAACTTTATAGAATATTCAAGTCATACTGTTTTGAAAAATTCTCTAATAAGCAAGTGAATTAGTAAAAGGTCAACAATTCAAAACAAAAATTTATCAACACAAGACTGCAAAGAATTAATTTCACCATCTCTCGTACGTAATATTGTGAAAAGATTCAGGGACTCCAGAGAACTCTCAGTCTGTGTTGGGCAAGGCTGGAAACCACTGCTGAATGTACATGACCTTTGAGCTCTCAAGTCCCATTGCATGAGAATCCGTCATGCTACTGTTTGAAAAATAGCCACATGGGCTCAGCAGTATTTCGAAAAACCATTGTCACTTAACGCAAAGAGAAAGCCAAACATTCATTCTCTGGGCCCGAGTTCATCTAACATGCTCCAAAAGACAGTGGAAATGTGTCCTGTGGTCAGACGAGTCCATGTTTCAGCTCACGTTTGGGAAAAACTCAATGAATTCATGAGATGTTATGTCAACTTGAAAAATTTGACCGATGCAATCTTTTTGATAGATGACACATATTGAAATAGGTGTAAAAGTATATAAAGTATATGAACATTTATATCAATTCACATCAGTTATGTCAGAGAAATGTAGAATTATCAACATTAAAATGTTAAATTTATTTCACAGCATAGTACATTTCATTCAAGGTAAATCCATCAAGGTATACAAACAAGCAAACGAACTCTCAATGGCACAACAATGTGTCGACCCTATGTCCCTAACCTTTTCTGCTTGGAGACACATCAGTAATCAATTTGACTAATGGAATTTTAGAGCAATCTATGAAACACCAAGAAAACCATTCTCACGAATAGGAAGTCAAATAATTTCATTAATATTACAAATTGGGAAAAATTTAACTATCCGCATCCCTCAAAAACAAAACCTCTAGCATTGAGCAGAATAGGTCCCGAATATTTCCTTAACTTCGCAGGATATTCTGGCTGTTAAAAGTATTTCAGAATGTCGCATGCTTTGTGAGTGAAGATGCTATTAGCATGTGATAAGTGCCATTAAAACTGGTTAAACAAGGTTCACAAGGTTTTGTCATAAATTTGTTACTGCTGAATTCCAGTATTAAATTCCTGAAATTCCTGAGTTGTAAGTTTGTTGAAAGTGGAAAGTGATCCACAATTTTTACTGTTCTTATTGTGCCTAAAGGGTTGAAGCTTAGTTGGAAAAGCGAGTGTTGTTTGTCTCTCAGTGTTCATGAATAGATTCAGCTGAAGTACTTTTTGTATGGAGGCCTCTGTTAAACTGACTTTGTCAAAGTCAGGTGCTGAATGAACCTCTCAGTACATTGTAAGTAAAAGTTAATCTCTGGTACCCCCATCATTTGACTTAGTGTATCGCAAGTAAAATTAATCTTGGGCTCCCCCTGTCATTTGACTTAGTGAACTGCAATGAAATTGACTTTAGCGCACTTTGTGGTCGATTAGTGCGTTACAGAGTTGGTTTGTGGTGGTTTTTGGTTAAATGAAGCTGACATAGAAAATAATAATTAGCTCTTTCAAGAGAATATTACAAACATTATTAAAATATTAATACTAATTAATTAATATTAAGTTATATATCAACAGTGCACATCCTTTACATGTATGAAATACACCTATGCATTCTCTCTTCCATATTACTTGTAATCAATACATTTATGGTTCATTATTTACTTAACCAAATTATAGTAGGATGGATTTTATAGATAATTACAAGTTATCTTACACTGTATAACACTAACATGGATATTGAGTTAAAGCCTTTCCTCTGTTACCTTGCCTTATTCCACTCATAGATTTTTTTGTAGTTGTATTTTCATTTTAGTGTAGTTTAGCTCCAGCACAAACACCGCATACTCTCCTCGCGACCCGGAAGGATAAGCAGTTTAGAAAATTACCTCAGCTTATTACATTCATTTTGTTTCTTTTTATTGTTATATTTATAATATATAATATATATTATATATTTGTGTTAGCATACGAAGCAGAGGGATTAGGATATCTCCTCTCTGTATGTGAGAATGAACTAGACAACTCTAATGCTAGAGGTGGAGAACTAGAGCATAAGGTTGATGAAGCCACTGAACTCCTAAGCCAAGTTAGGCAAGCATAGTACAGCAGAGGGAACAATATAAAGGTGCTGAAGAGGAATTCAGAGCTGAATATGAACTAATAGTGTCCCAACAACAGTAGTTGAGGACCAAAAGTGAGTTGATAGAGTTCAAATTCAGACTTGAGAGGGCTTAACGACAAAAGATTAATTGCGGGGATGTTCAGGAAGAATTACAGTCCTGTCATGAGATGGACCATGGCTAACCCACAGAATGAGGTCCTAGGGATGCTCAAAGAGGCGTCACTGTGCCACCCTGCTCATGAGGCCAGAACCATTTCCCCTCCCCTGGTCAGCTGGATACCTCCTAACTCGGCTGAGCCCATATTTCCTCGGCCACTTCACCAGCCTTTGAGCCACTTTCACTCTCAGGGTCCCTCTGATAGGGGCCTTGCGTGCAATGTAACCCATTCTAAACCAATGCCTGAAGGTTCTAATGGCATCCATAGCTACCTAAAAAACATTAACTATTACTGCATAAATTAGCAAATGCTATGGTAGATGACTACCTGATCGAAGGAACTTCCAATGACCCTGGTGGAAGAATTCTCCAACCACTTACAGCAGACAGGTTTGGTTTCAGCTCTAATAGTTAAACAAAGGTGAGAATCGGCCCAACTATACTACAGCTGCCTTCAGCAACTTTTTCTCATTCCAAAAATGAATCAGAGATGGAGGAGGACTGAACCCTCAAAATGCTGTTTGTCCACCTCACCACAAGCCATTATCTAGGGGTTGCAGCTTGTCCCCGTACCTTATTCAACAAACAACTTTGTCACTCAGTTCTAAGAGGGTACGCAAAACATTGACAGGCCTTGAGCAATTGGACAGAGACCCCCAGTGTCTTCAGTCTTGATACTCAGTCCCTTGTGTAGGGAGCAATTGGCACCAATCCAAGGTGTCCACCAACAGCTCCCTCCCAAAGGCACCAACCCACTAAATTCCAGTGGTTCTCATGACCCTGATTAGAATGCTCCCAACCACTATGGTCTGGTAAAATCCAGCTCAGGCATCAATACAAATCATTTTTCCCTGAATATTTTTGGAAGCTGTTTCCATCCAACCAGTGGGGAAACCACAAAACCTGGTAGAAAGACAAGAACAGACGTCCTTACCAAAACACTCACCCCTGGGGTGAACCACCATGCAATATTACATGGAAAGTTTCGACATCCTAATTCTAGCCATAAAACTTGGGGAAAGTATAGCAGAGTTGAGCCCAGACAGAGCCTTGGAGTAGGTTGACTGAGTGACACAGTGCAAGTGAAACTGTCATCCCTTCTGAACCAGCCAACACTGTCTGCAGTCTCCAGCTGAGGAAACATGACTTGACCATGGTGAAGCCCCAGGCCAGGTCTTAATGCTCAGTTTTGCACTTGAAGAAGCTCAACGAGAAGCCGCCTGCTGAGACCAACATTCAGACATGCATTCTGCATAAGTGGAACAACACCAACCTATAATTCGCCAGCGTGGTAAGGCTTGAAAATCCATGGTATCCTCAGGTTGGATGCCTGGTCTGCTTCTGCTAGCCTTCCTCTGAAGCTGGAGCACTTTAATGTTGGCACATTTGCACCCTTTAGTTTAACAGTCAGTTTTAATTCATACCAGAGACCCATTTATCATTACGTCCTAAATCACTTTGTGTGCGTGTTTTCCTATATTAGATCCACTTTTGCCAACCTGTAGATTTTACTGATTATTACATGCTTTATTTATCTTGTTTATTTATACCAGTTAATAAACAAGCCAACTATTTGTAAACAATATGGTTTGTGGTTGAAAGAGTACTGACCTTTCTTAGCTGGATGTGAGATCAAAAGTTGTGTATATGGAACAGGAGTAAAATGGGCTAAAGTGCTATGAATGCTATTCAAACCGCTCAGATTTTGCTTCAACTGATATGATGTCATTCACACCATTGTTGATCTTTTGTATGGTTTTGTTTTGCTCCCCCACCCCACCCCCATTTTTGTCCTTTTTGTATTATACATGTCCTCCCTCTGTACAGGACAGCCTAATTGATTTGTGAACAATTTACTACAAATATCTAACTAATAAAGCTTAAATAGTCATTCAGTGATGGGCAGAGTGGCCAAATTAAATAAATAAATAAATAAAAAATTGTACCTTTAATATATATTTTTTTCCTGAAGGCAAGCTGCATATTTTCCTATTTCATAACATATCGTTTTGAAATAAAAAAAATGGAAATCTGGAGTCAAGACAGGTTGTATGGAATCAATGCAACTTACAATGGAATAATATAGAATTATGTACCTTAACTAAAGACGTACTATTGAGTGTACTAATATGATTAATATTAGTGCTAATATTAAATGGATCTATAAGTTTATTTTAGAGAGAAAAGCACATAGATATTTCTTAAACAATGCAGTCAGAGTCAAGCATGCTTTGCTTTTTCCCACGAAGAACTGGATGAATACTTTATAATCTGATCCATTTACTGCTAAAAACATGCAATAATGCAGAAAATATCTTTTATTCTCTCACAGTTTCTCCACTATCAGACCTATTTTATCCACATGGCAAGGGAAAAGGAGACACTTTAAATGTTCAGGATGATATCCGCTCACCTGCTGTTACGTTACAGAGTCCATTCTCTTTTTTTGGACACACATACTCTCAGATATATGTAAGTTCCATTACAGCTGAACTGTAAATGTTGATCACAGATTTTTCATCATTTCTCTGTGAAAATGTTTGCTTTTGTTTTTACTTGCAGGTCTACAAGGATGGATTGCTAAAATTGAGTCAGAAGCAGTTTGTTTCTGGTGGTGATATTTTCTTTAATCCATCCTTGACTTGCTTGGATAACAGTAAAGGAGGTGTAATCTCATATAATCAGTACTCTGAGGGCAGTGTACTCTCACGGGCCACACAGGACATAAACCAGTACTTTCCAGAAGTTACCTTCGCTGCCTCTTGGGTTTTTGTTGTAACATGGGATGGAGTGCCATACTGTGGACACCCAGGCAAGGTAAGATGTAAATGCTTGGCTTTTTGGTGGGGGGGGAGGGGGAACAAATTTGTTGTTCTGTTCCTGAGCTTGGTGTTTATTTGCCCCTGGTCTCAGTTTACTGAGAAAGTCAGCCTAAGTATAAAAAATACAAAAAAAAAAAAAACAAAAATCCCCTTTTATTTTAACCCTTTAACATTCCAGGCTAATTATATAAAAATTATTATTATACAGTAACTACAGAGACTTCACTGCAAACTGGTTGAGCTATTCCTCGGTTGTAGAATTGTGTAATAAAATTACCAGCAGGCAAAATAGGTTAATTATCCTTTACTGGCCTGGCTTCTTATTTCTCTTTACCTTGCTGTCAGAAGAGACTGCATATTTAATGGAGATATGTTTTTTTTTCATTTTAAAAGGCATCATTTCAAGTGGTTTTCATTTCCAGAGGGACTCTTTCCTTTATGCTGATAAATTACAGTCCCACTAATCCAACAAACCAGTATGTCAAGGTAAAGTGCTCTAAGTATAACCTCCTTGACATAAATCATTTTGTCTATATTCTCTGTCCTAAAAGTGTTTTCTGCCCAGGCTGGATATAACACCACCAAACACAGCTTTCAGATTCTGATGTCAGCCAGCAGCATTTCAAATCTAATTAAAACAAGCAATGTGAATGTCCCTGGGCGCTGGGCCTTCTGGGTAAACCAAGGAAGTATTACACCACTACCAGCGGTAAGGTCTTTTTTCAACTGAATTCAGGTGTTCAACATGGTAAACATACTTTTGGTGACCTGTGTAACCTGAGAATACTGGCATAGCAGGTATCTAATGGTTCTCATTGCTTTTGGTTCTGATTTTCAATAGGTAGACGCATGAAACCTTATAGCTCATGTCCATCCACTCAGCATCAAACCTGTTTTTTGCAAAACTTATCCTCATTAAAAATGGGGGTGGGGTTGATTACTATATAATTTCTTTAGCACTACCATAAAATAAAATTTTAAAGCAATAAGCCATGAGGGACCACGCTTGTAGTTCTATACAGTAAAAGAAACCTTTGCATGATTAAAGATTGATTGCATGATGCCTTGCATCATGTAAAGATTCTTCAGATTGATGGAGAAACTGCTGCAGATGGTTCTATATGGAAAAATTGACACTGTAACAATAGAAGAACACTTTTTGGTGCTATATAGAAGTCTTTACAAAAAAGTTCTATATAGAACCATCTACACCACATTCTCTATCATGTTGAAGAAGAACTAATGATGCAAAGAACTTTTTAATCATGCAGAGGGTTCTTTGAGTATTCATGGTTCTATATAGAACCATTTTCCTTATGAAAGAACCCACAGCATTGAAACAGTACTAAAAGCTAACTAAGATCCATTAAGACCAAAATAGAAGGATTTTGTGCATCATAACTAAGCTTGAGGCCACTGACAACACAAACCAGTGCTGTTTCAGTACTATGGTTATCACAGAAAGCTGATTAAAACATTTCCAACAACTTTTTCTAAAACTTTCCTTAAAAAGGTTTGAAATAGATCTCAAATTATTAAGTATGAAAGGATCCATGCTACTTTTTATTTATTTTTTTATTCGTATAGTCTTCACCAATGCAGTTTTGAAAGAATCTGTAAAATTACCTGTTGACAGAACAAAGTTAACAATAGTTAAAAAATATCATGAACATCAAAACCTGTCTTAAGGAGTGAAGTAGGAACATCAACAAGATCACATGTGGATGAACGTAATTTGTTTATAACAGTTGTAATCTCCTGATAACTAATAGCAGATAATGATGTCATTACTGATGAAAGTAGCTTATCAAGAAGGTTATAGGAACTTTTTTTCAGTAGTGCCAGCTACACTTATCAAGATTAATTCTTATTAAGATTAGTTTATTTTGAAATCAAAATGCAAATTGTTTGCAAATTTTAAAGATAAATCACGATGAGATACACAAGCAGAAAAGTTAGGGTCAATTAATTGGTTACGGATTTGTATTTATTAATTACATTAGAGCAGTATGACTGTCTGGATCTTTTCAAAGAATTATTGTAGGTGGAAATGCACTCTCTGAGAATACAATAATGTACCTGCAGTTTAGTTTCCCTTTATATGTGTTCTGATTAATGACATCCACATTCATCCATGGATTTTTATTTGTAAAAAGTTTTTTTTTATTATTTATTTATTTTTTTTTATAGTCCTACTAGCACAGTATCACAGAGGACTTAGAGAATACAATTTTACAAATTTGTATGTAATGGAGTATTTTACTGTAATAAAGGTACTTACTCCATTTTACTCTGTACTTTTCAATCACATGTATGTATTTACTGAACGCTAAATCATTGAAAATCTGATTCTGAGTTGAGCATTCTGAAATATACCTGGTATTTCTCACGTTGGTTACTCTGTACTTACATATTGAAATTGCAAATTGTGCATAAAGTATTACTTGTTAGTACTACATATTTACCACTAAATTCTTTTTGTCTTTTCCTGACCTGTTATTTTTTTTTTTCCTTTTCCTTTTTGCTCTGTGATTCTGCTCTCATTTTCTGCATTTCCATGTTTGACCCTGGACTGTGTTTTGGACTCTCTTTATGATTCTCTTGTTCTGGGTATCCTGTTTTCTGGTTTTGACCTTGGACTGTTTTGACCATGATTGTAGAGTGAATCCCTTGGCCTCAAGTAAAGCTCTACCTTGGGTTTTTATCTGCAAGTGTCTGATTCTTTCTGAGCCCTAGTGTGGTTGGTGGTTGTTGTGGTTGTCTTTGTCCCTTGGCCATACTGGACTCCTTGAGGGGGTCATGTCTACTGCTGAAGATTCTCCTTCTGTCTGTTCCTTGCAACCGGCAGATTTTGTTGTATCCATGGACTGTGAAGAGCACTACAACTCCCATAAGTCTATGAGGCCTCAGCTCCATCAGTCAATGGATTCCCTTTCTATGCTCTAAATCCCCTGAGTTGTAATGTCTTACCTGTTTGTTGTTACTTGCAATCAGTTAGGTAGTGTATATGCCTGGGCTTCAGTTTAGTCAATTGTGAATTATTGCCAACCTTTCCAATTGCATACCAAGCACTCTTTGTATCGCTAATTTCCTGTGCCTTTTTGCCTTTTCCTGACCTGTTTTTTGACCTTTCAAAGGGTTAGCATCTGGGCTGTTCTCTGTGGTCATCAGGGTGACACAGTCTGCCTGAGTCCCTGAGGAATGTTGAGGGGATTCCAAAGCTGCTGAGGCTTTGCTGCCAATCTGGCACCGGGGAGCTTGGCAGGGCTTTTCCAAAGAGTCTGGACTATTCAAAGGTCTCTACTGCAGCTGTTGAGGTGTCACAACCCTTTTGAGGGGATTCTGAAGCTGCTTGGGAACTGACATTTTTCGTGTACACTGGAGCCCCTGGCTTAGGCTCACTGCATTGTCTGGTGCGGTGCCCCAGGTTTTCCTACATTGCCAGCACACCAGTCGCTCTGTTGCCACTTGGCATGTCACCTCATCCTCACACTCACTATCACTGCAGTCTGCCGCCACCACATGACGAACCTGACTGTGGCCTGCATATTCCCCGAAAATCACTTCTACCTCTTCTGCACACTTTATATCAGCAGCGATCAGATCCAGCTTCCCTCTGTGCTGGCACTCTCTTTGACGGAGGCAACGTGCACGAGTCAAATGCACTCATTAAACTGCCTCCTCAGTTTCATCTCAAACTGCCACAGGTACGCTGCCCAATTCCCTGAACCATCGGAATGGCACATGTTTAAGCTTTATGAATCACTTCAACTGTCATGTTTGTAAAGTCCCATCAGGACCCCACCCTCTGTTCCAGCGAATCTATGCACCGTGGCTCAGACCAACCCTCTTCAGTTCTTCCACCACTTCCAACACCATTTTATGGAGGCATCTTGTTTTGTGAGGCTAATTAATTCAAAAATATGATTGGTATAGTGTAGTGTTGGTGTAGTGTAGTGGGTAACACCTTTGCCTTCTACGCTGTAGACTGGGGTTCAATCCCTGCCTGGGTAAACACCCTACACTATACCAATAAGAGTCCTTGGGCTAGACTCCTAACACTACCTTGGCCTTCCTGTGTAAAATGATCAAATTGTAAGTCGCTCTGGATAAGAGCGTCTGCCAAAATGCTGTAAATGTAAATAAATTTAAGAGGTCAGACTTGGCCAGAAACTTATGGTGGTTACTTATAGATTAAATTATCTGTGTTGTGCTGTGAGTTTCCCATTATAATCCTTGACAAAAAGTACATCATACTATCAGGTAGCCAATTATTTACCAGCTAACCTAGTGGTCCTAGAGTACTTCATGAATTAAGGGCTTGTTTGTAATGACTGTGCACTTAAAAATGTTCAGAGCTTGTTTGAAATGCACTTTTGTCATGAATACTTGAACTGCATTTCCTGAATTATAGTAAAACCTGCAGTGTCAGGTCATTACACATCTTACTCAGATATCATCTGAAGATTTCTGCAGTTCAGTAAAAGTATGGTTTTCAAGGTTGTGCCAGGTGCTCTTCTCTTAACAAACTCTGTTTATTTCAGATCTGAATATCAAGGTTGAAGTTTGCAAGGTCAGGACACACATGTTACTGAGAAGCACACTTCTTTAAACCTCTTAATAGCCATAGCTAACTGTGAAAAGTTCAAAGTGTTTATATTACGTGTTTTTTTTCAGGCTAATGCCAGCCAAGAGTGTACAAAAAACCTCCTGAGTCAGATTGACAACATCACTACTGAAGTGTTACCAAAGGAAGTAAGTAGTTTGTTGGACCTGATAGGCAGTTTAGCAGTAAAATATTACTCAGATGCTTCTTACTGCTCTCTCTAAATACTGTTTTATACATGTTTATGACTTAATTGTCTTTATGAGTTAAAAGACAATAGCATGACAGTGAGTGTGTTTACATGTATTTTATAATGTGGTAACTGCAGAAAATCAGATTTTGTCAGTAATCCGTTCAATATGATTACATGCACTTGAGTAATCAGATAATGGGAAAACTTTGGGTCTACATGAGTCAGACAGTAGTCAGATTTCTGCTTTACAACCAGCCAATTAACTCACAGAAGAAGATGTGATGTAACGCAATGTAAAACTCATACTTCATGTCCCGTAGCAACACTTGAAATATGAACATACATCATCTAGAATATGAAGAATGTCTACATTTTTCATTTTCATTGTGTTTTGCTGCCATCTGTCAATGCTGGTTGTTTATTTCCAGTAACATTGAGAAATCTGAAATAAATCAACAAAGAGTTTACATGCACTGAGTAATCTGATTACTGAGCTAAAATCCAGCTCTCGTTATTGGATTTCTTAATCGGATTTCTAGACCTTACTCTGAGAAAGCAGAGTATACTGCTTACATGACCATTTGAATAATCAGATAACTGCAGAAATCTGATTATGGTTGAATTATTGAGTGCATGCACTCAGTGTTTTTTGTTTTGTGTATGAACTTCAGCTTCTGTCTGATTGTTGAACAGGATGTGGAGAATGCATTGGAGTTCCTTACTACTCAACAAAACAGTTTGCTTGTTGGAAAAACAAACAAAGAACTAGTGTCCTCTTTCAATAACATACTGAAAGCCACTGACAAACTGATGTCTACTTTGGTGAAGAATGTAGAGACCAACTCTTCTATTAGCATCTCCCTCAAAACTATAGGTAACTACAACCACACAGGCATGCAATACATTGTGAAAGCTTTACTTGCACGTTGATCATCAGAACACTCTGCATATTTGGATATAATCCCACTTACCTACCTTATGTTTCTCCACTAGAGGCTCGTGTTTTTGAAATTGGACCAAGTTGTTCCTTGATAGAAATCCTTCAGCTTGAAACACCAGATGCTAAAATGGACATTGATCTCATTGGAATTTCTAAAAGCAAGAAGAATCAAGGTATGATCACTGTTAGTGACATTGGTACCAATCTGTTTATTATTATTGTTATTATTATTATTATTATATCGTTCTTTTAAATTAAGTACAGTGCTGCCTGAAAGTCTGTGAACCCTTCAGCATTTTGTGCATTTCTGCATGAAAGTGACCAACAATGTAATCAAATCTTTATTTAAGTCATAACAATAGAAAAAGAGAACCTAATGAAATTAATAACATAAGCAAGTATTGTGATCAAACGTTCGTGGATACAACATTACATATATGGTTGGCAAAAGTATGTGAACTTCTAAAATTATCAGTTTGTTAAAGGAGATGATTCGTGTCGGGAGGTTCAATCAATTGGATGGCAATAAGGTGTGGCACTGAGATCAGACACTAATATAGACGAGAGGGTCTGGCTCACAATCTCCATTCTAGTTCCCAAAGGTGTTTGATGGGGTTGAGGTCAGGACTCCGCGTGGGCCAGTCAAGTTCTTCTACACCAAACTTACCCAGCCAGGCCTTCATGGGCCTTGCTTTGTGCACTGGGGCTCAGTCATGCTGGAACAGAAAAGGTTCTTCCCCAAACTGTTCCCAAGTTAGAAGCATAGAATTGTCCATAATGTCTTGGTCTGCTGAAGCATTAACATTTCCCTTCACTGGGACTAAGGGTTCTAGTCCAACCCCTGAAAAACAACCCCATAGCATTATCCCTCCTCCACCAAACTATACAGTTGCCACCCTGCAGTCAGGCAGGTAACGTGCTGCTGGCATTTACGAAACCCAGAGTCGTCCATCAGACTGTTTGATAGAGAAGTGTGATTCGTGACTCCACAGATTAGATTTCCTCTGCTCCAGAGTCCAGTGGTGCTGTGCTTTACACCACTCCATCTGATGATTGGCATTTTTGGGCTTGGTGATGTAAGGCTTGCATGCAGATGCATGAACATGGAAACCCATGCCCACAGTTTTTGTGCTGATATTCATCCCAGAGGAGGTTTGAAACTCTGCAGTTATTGACTCAGCAAAGCATTGGTGACTTTTATGCACTATGCTCCTCAGCACTCGATGACCCGCTGTGTAACTTTATGTGGTCTGACACTTTGTGGCTTAGTTGCTGTGATTCCTAAATTGTTCCACTTTCAATAATACCACGCACAGTTGATTGTGGATTATCTGGGAGGGAAGAAATGTTTTGAACTGACCTGTTGCAACAGTGGCATCCTATTACAGTAGCTTACTCAAATAAATAGATGAAAGAACTGATTCTTTAGAATGACGCATTCATTGACAAGTGTTTGTAAAGGAAAACTGCATGGCTAGGATTTTATAAACCTGTGGCAATGGGACTGAATGAAACACCTGAACGCAGTGAATAAGAGGTGTGTCCCAATACTTTTGTCCATATGGTGCATGATATTCTGAGAGATAAAGAAAGTACCATCTAAGTAACACCTAAGGATCTGCAGGCCTCTCTTACACTGGATAGTGTCCTGAATCCATGAGTCCACCATTGGGCAAATATTGAACAATGACAGTAGGTTTGAAATGATAGCCTGACATAAGCCACAACTCTCCAGGAAGAACACTGGAACCTTATTCTCATATTGAAACACAGTGGTGGCAGCATTTGATGAAGCAATAAATTCAGGGTTGTATCAAGAAATTCTACTGGAGTACGTTAGGGCATCTAATTATGAACTGAGCCTCAGTAGAAGTTGGGTTCTGCGGAAGGACAATGATACTAAAAACACTAGTTAGTCAGATAAAAAATTGCATTTTAGAGTGACTGAATCAAAGTCGACAGCTGGGATAGGCTCTAGCACCCCACCGCGAACCAGAAGGATATGCAGTTTAGATGATGGATGGATGGATGGATGGATGAATCAAAGTCCAGGACCTAAGATGAGGCTTTCATGCAAGAAACCCCACCAACATTACGGAGTTGAACTAGTTTTGTAAGAAAGAATGGACCAAGTGTCCTCCAAGGTACACGGCTCATCAACAGTTACAGAAAGCATTTCGTTGAAGTCATTGCTGCTGAAGGGGGCCACAATAGTCACTGAAAGCAGAGGTTCACACAATTTTGCCAATGAAGAACCTTAATGCTAGATTACTTAAGTATTGCATGTGTTATTTGTTATATTGCAATCTCTTTATATATTGTTGTGACTTTAATGAAAATCTGAAAAGACTAGGATATAAGAATCCAATGTTTTTTATTACTTAAATACCAGAATATGGGGCAGCCTGAGCATTCACATGTATACAATACTGGGCTCTCCTTCAGTTATTTAATTTGTAGTTAAATTCACCGTAAGGTACAAGTAATCAGTGTTTAGTCTGTCCATACTTTGTCTTAATCTATTAAAGTCTGTTAAAGAGACTTGCTTTAAATTTTGTTTCTCTTGTTCTGTCTTAGAAGTTGTTTGCATTTTCCGATTCTCTCAATTCAACTAATACCGGTCAATGATTTTAAAGTCTGGACTCAGCAGCTCCTTTGTTTTAATTTGCAACAGTTCTTCTTTTTGTCCTTTCCATAGTGTTAAAGTCTCATAGTGTTAAACTGTTTTTGGTGGACTAACAGGTCTTGCATGGTGGTTAGGTGTCCTATTCTTTCCATATATTGTAGCTCCAGTTTTAGCAAAACAAAATAAATGCAATGAAAGGATAAACAATGTGGTACAGTTATTGTGTGGTGTTTAATCTGTGTTTCAGGGCACGCTGCTGTAGCGTTCATGAGCTACACCAACATGTCGAATTCCAGCCTGTTCAGTACAACTACCAACACAATGAAACGTATGATGTCCACTGTGGTTTCAGCCACGCTCCCCAGAACCAACAACACAAACCTCACCAAACCAGTTAATTTCACCCTGAGGCACACTGCAGTGAGTCATTCATCTCTATTTAGATGAACTGATAGCAACCCACAGTAATCAATCAAAAGTACTGTAAATTGGCACTCAAGCATTTATTACCATCTACTGAAATAGTAAAATAGTAAAAACATACAACATGGTTTTCACGACAACAAACTATAGACTGGAAAAACACCTGGTTTATAAAAGAAGACTAGTCCATCGTCCATAAAAGGCCATACTCCATTCCATTGTCATGCAAATGGCTACTTTACTGTTTATTTCATATATTACATAACTGTGCAAACAGTTCATTACACAGTCCTGTGTAAATGTTTGAATATCCCTGGTCATTTTTTTATTTTCTCTACAATGTACACAGAGTTTATTTACTGGAATTAGCATGTTAAAAATATTATAATGAATTAATAAATAAATAAAATGTGACATGTAAAATGAATGCCACATTTTATATTTTATGTTTTTGGGTTTTTTTCCAGTGTCTTAACCTCTTATTCTCCAGGGTATATTTTGGTTTGTCCATCTGAATTTATCTGACCAAATCGTAAGGCAAATTATCCAGTAACTGCATGAAATAAATGTAAATTTTTATTTTATTTTATTTTAGTAAAACTCTCCCTCAAATTAACGGAAAATGTGTCTTATGGTCACACATATTGTTATACGCTTACAATTTACTGCTGAAAGCCAAAAATCTTAGATTCTGTTTGTATTATTTTATAAAAATAATTTTTACAGAGCAGATCACTGAAGAGACACCTTCTGTTTATAGTTTACAGCACAGATTTGTGGAAAAATGGGTCGACTTCCAGTAGAGTGAATTCAGCTTCTTTTATTATTAAGTTTAAAAATTACATTTGACTGGAAAGACTGTAGCTTATGAAATATGAAAGTTATGAAGAATACAACTCAAGTGCGTTTTGGAGTTTAAAAAGTTAAACTCAGCAAATAAATAAAATTTGCAGAAAAATGCCATATTTTAGAATGTTTTCTGTAGAAGATGTGTGTTTTCACTTATTTTCACTATGTAAATCAACAAAATGTGGCAAATCCATATAAAATGTAAGCAAAAGCCTAAAATTTCTAGTTTAAAGACTAAAATGAGTTGTTTTCTCCTGCTTGATTTTTTTTTTTCACTTTGTCCCTTGTTCAGGTGTTTAATCTCCATGTTACTCCCTCCTGTGTCTACTGGAAAGAAACTGACTGGGTCACAGATGGCTGTAGGCTTAAAAAGAGCAACATCACTCATTCTGTCTGCTCCTGTGATCACCTGTCAACCTTCGCTCTCATCATGCAGACCAAACCATCTGAGGTAAACAGAGGTGTTTTCACCTGGATATAGGCCATGTCTCTTACCAAAACAACTCAAGTTTACAACAAGTTACTGTACATGGTCATTTCACCACACAGAAAGCAGGCAAATAGATGATTATGAAACATTTTTATATTTTTCTTGACTGAACCATATGAACTAAATTCTCCATTACTGAAGTACAAAAAATCCTTAATTGTTAAATGAGAAGCATAACTGATAATTAGTTACATGACTCAGTCGAAGAACTGTTTACTGTGATTATTAGTGATGATTAATTAAATTACTTATTAAACATTAGTATATTTTATGACATTTTATTTTGTCTCTATTCTATAAAAGCCTTAAAGTGAACATGAATGGGAAAATCACAGTTTCCTTCCAAAGTGTCCCAGCACACAGTCTAGTTCATCTCCTTTATCACAGTGCAATGTAGCTGGCTTGAAGTCAAGTTAGACTCTGTTATCACAGTAAGTCAAACTCTCCAAATGGAAATGCAACACATTTAATTAATGGTCATAATAGTTGCATTTTAAGATAAGGGGTCACCTGCTGTACTGTAACATATACATACAGAATGGTTTGAAGCTGAAACTGGTTACAGTCACAGCACTAGCATCATAAATGCTGGCTAAAAGCTGGCAGATACAATGTCAGTAATGTCTTAATATATGATATAGATATTTCCTTTTACTGCTGAGAAAAAATAAATAAATAAATAAATACTTGTAAAAAGACTGCTGTTCCAGTCTGATTGCAAATGTAATTACATTTATGTTTTATGTTATTACCCTTGTGTAATTACATGAGAGAGAATAGGCTGTTACAACTATTAAGATACACTTGTGTAATTACATGAGGCAAAACTGAAGTTAATACACATATATAATTACATAAGGTATACTTCTGTAATAAATCTGTTACAGTGTCTAAATCATTAGTAGTTACATTGTTGTTGCATATGTTGTTCAAATGTAACTACACAGTTATTAGAGACACTTAATATAAAGTGGGGCCAAAAAAAATTCATAGGTATCTGAACTGAATACCAAAACACTGATAGGTCAGTTAATAATGTGGACTACTTTCTTTAATTTCATTTCATGTTCAAGTCAGGTGGAGGGGGATCACACATTCCACCATATTTAATAGTACATCTGTCCTTTTACTGATCATATCTTTGACCATTTCTCACCAGGATAATCAACTACCCGTATGTAGACACCCAGCAATATAATCTGATGGAATCAGACCCAATAGTGTTTATTTGCAGTAACATTGTATCAATCATTACACATTACTTTGATGCAACTTTTGTTTCAGCTCCTCCTCCCCTCAGACAGACACTACAGAAGTCATTACAGTCCTACACAGCATGTCTGTCTTACCTGACACACTGTATTCTGTTTTATTTTATCTTATTCAGTATTGCTAACCGCTAACTGCCTGCTGTACTCTGAACTTTAAAAAAAGATCTTGAATGTATATTTGTTTGATTGTATGTGGGTATGAATGTGTGTATATGTATATTTGAGTGTAAATGTGGTACAACTCAGATATGGATAATCATGTCAGTATTTAAGTGCTGTGGAACTCAGGAGCAGATAAAAAAAATAAATAAATAAACAATATTTCAAAAAATACTTCATCAACAGGTTACTAGTGGCGCTCTGTCGGCGACACGGCCTGTCTTCAGTGATAGCAGAGAAGGGAAAATTCAGCAACCTCACCGCTGGGCTCTAGTTATATTTAGGACATCATATGCTTTCAAATAGGGTGGTATAAAACACATTATTTATTATCACCCACCGCTAATTCTTTGGTGATATGAAGCTGAGGCCAATCTATTTACCAGCATCTTGTTCGAATTTTACCGTTCCACCTTAAATGGTGCAGCAGTTACATTCTGGTGCTTCAGGCATCAGAACTGCTGGACTATTTAAGGTGGAACAGGAAAATTCTCTAGCTAGCTACTGAAACATTAGCATGCCATTAGTGATTTTATATGCTTGTTATGAAAAAAATGAACATAATAGTTTGAAACGACATTAAACTAAGATAATACAATGGTCATCATAAATTAAACAGATTAAGTATTTACATATGTGGGTGTCTTTGGTCGCTCATGCAGCCATCTTGCTGTTGTTCTCTAAAATAAACATTAGAGATTAGAGTTTATTCAAAATATATTATACACAGAGTGAAACAGTACATAGTTAGGGTTAGGGTTACTCTAGGCTAACCCTAACCCTAGAGTAAAGATGCCCCCTACAATATGAATTTGTGGCAAATTATGGTCAGTATAGCTGGTTATTGAGTTTTTATTCAGTTGCTTGTTGGCTAGCAAACTTTGGGTTTTCATGAGGTAAAGAAAAAGCATTTACTTTTACTTCACTTCATAGTGAGAGTTTGAGCAAGTGGAGGAAATAGAAAGTGTTATTAACAGTTCTTTATATTCTTTATTTTCCGATTTCTCCTCAGTGTTTGGAAATAATGACACCAGAATTTGGCAGATATAGTTGTTTACAGTATGTTAATGTCAGTGAAAGAGACACATAGTGCTGATCATAAACCAATTTTATATCTCCCAATTCCTCAAGCTGTAGATGGAAATTACGAGGTGGCAGCTCCATTGAAGGCCAGCCAGAGGATTTTTTTTTTGTACCAGTTAAAACAAAAAATATATATATCAATGAAAATTTTAATTGACTGATCTTTTATCATTTCCTTGAGTTCTTGTCTCAGTTTAATAAAATAAGGTATTACTAAACACAGGAATAGAGGGAGACAAAGAAGTTACATGATCTGATGGAGGTTAGTGATTAAGAAGAAATCAAGGAGGTTTGTTTAAGCTTTTGTTAAAATTACTGAATTTAATTGATCCTAACTGAGAAAATATAATATTTCTTAGTATACCATGATGAATTTCTGTCACTTAGCTGATTAAACATGCTTACAGTGAAAAATCACACTTTGATGATGCCAACTGAGACGGAAATCATCTCTACTGTACCTGCAGCTTATCTAAGAGAGGGAACATAGCATTGCATGACTTTTGCTTGATCTGTGTCTGATGTAAGAGGATGGATATAGAGTTTAAGTCATTATAGCTCTGTGTTCAATACAAACCACAAAGAGACAGATTTATTGTGTACCAATTTGACCAAACAGCCATTTTTAATACATTTTCTGGCTGTTGCTGCTCTAAAAGTTAATGATGAACAGACATTTTGGGGCCATTAAAAAAATTCTTCTGGAGGACCATGCCCCCAGACCCCCTAGTACAAGCTTATCCCCCAACACAAACCTCTAGTGGCACCCCGATGTCTGTTGTTGTATAAGTTTGAGAAGACTTATCTTTTTTTATCTTTGTGCTTAATTTGACTGTTAATCAAATATTGATTTCAGAATGACCATCGTTTGGATGAGTTCAGCATGGTGGCCGAGGCACTGGGGCTGGTGTTCTTGGTGTTGACTCTGTTGACCTTTGCCCTCTGTCGAAGCAACCCAAGAGTCATCAACACGGCCCGGATCCAATTGTGTATAAGCCTGTTGTTGGCCCACTTCCTCTTCCTGCTTACACAAATATTACTGAAGAGCAAATCTTTACAGCCTCTCAAGGTAAGTGTCATTACCTACATACAGCATCAAGAGGAAAATGTTATTACATATTTGTAGCCTCATCAGGTGAATGTCTGTGAAAAATAGACCATGTAAGTTATTATTTACAGATACTCACATCTGATAATGAAATCTGTTTATACATGATTATTCAAAATATTAGGTTATGTTCCATTTTGTTTAGATATCTTCATAAAGATTGTGTGCAGAATTGAGGTTGGGGTAGGGTTTCTACAGTGAGTGTTAAGAATAGGTTTGGGTTTGGGATAGAATGAGAGTGAGTGTTAGGGTCTGGTTTAAGGTTAAGGTTTTAGTTGAATTGAGATGTAGAATGAGTGTTATATTTATGGATAGGTTTTGGGTTTGGGTTAGGTTTAAAGTGAAAGTTATGGCCCAGACACACTAATTCAGTGTCAAAGGGCAAGTGCTTAAAGCCTGAAGATGATTGTTTTCCATCACTACACCATCACCTTTTGCCTTCTGTGAAAATTTGCAATTGCACACAATGTAAAGACTACGGCTGATGGTTGACATGCAAAGTTATTGTACATGCCTGACGGTTATTAAGTGAAATACACTACTGTTAGCTTAAATCTACATAAAATGCAAACTTAACTTCTGGAAAAAAGTTGGAACATTTTTTTTTAATGAAATAAAAACAAGAATCTGTGATTTCTTCATTCTCTTGAACCTTTATTTAATAAAAACAGTAAAAAATAATGGCATTTAATGTTTTGGCTGATCAACTTGATTGCATTTTGTAAAAATAAACAAATTTTGAATTTGATGCCTGAAACCAATGAAAAAAAGTTGGGATGGGGCAACATTAGTCGGAAAAGTTTATGGAATATTCAGGTTACACTGATTTGAAACATTCCACAATAAGTAGTTGAATTGGTAACAAGTGGGATTATTGTGATTGGATAAAAGAACATCCACCAAAGGCTCAGTCTTTGCAAGCAAAGATGTGTTGTGGCTCACCACTTTGTGCCAAACATTTTGAGAGAATTGTCAAACAGTTCAGAAAAAGCGTTTCTCAACACTGCAAAGAATTTGGGTCATTCAACATCAACCGTATGTAATACTGTGCAAAGATTTTGGGAAACAAACACAATCTCAGTCCATGTAGGGCAAGGCTGGACCCCACTTCTAAATGTGCATTAAATTTGAGCCCTCATAAGGCACTACACAAGAAACTTAAATATAGCTACATGGGCTCAGGAGTACTTAAGCAAACCATTGCCACTTAACACAGTCCATCGCTGCATCAAGTACTGCAACTTGAAACTCTATTATCCAAGGAAAAAGCCATAAATGAATTTTATATAGAAACTCCGCTGAGTGAACTCCGCTCCCTTCCTGGATCGGGGCCTTGTCGTGGCGGAAGGGCTTGTGTGGTCTAGGGATCTTCAGAGCTAAGTCGTCGGGAGCAACATGCTCCTGGTAGGGTCTCCCAGGGCGAACAGGTCTGGAGTGAAGACCCAGACTAACTCGATCCAAAAACCTCCATGATAAACGGACACAGAACATTGTGTACCCTGCCTGGGAGAGGGTCACCGGGACCTACCCCTGGAGCCAGGCCTGGGGGCAGCATCCCTCGGCGAGCGCCTGGTGGCTGGGCAGCCCACGTAACCCGGCCGGGCTCAGCCCAAAGAGGCAACGTGGGGGGACCATGTGGGCCCACCACCCGCAAGGTCCAGCATGGGGGAGTGGTGCAGTGCCGTACAGGCAGTGGGAGATTGCAGGGGGGCCCTTGGTGGCCTAGGCCCCTGCGGCAGAAACTGGCTCTTGGTACGTGGAATGTAACCTCACAGGGGGGGAAGGAGCCGGAGCTTGTGCGGGAGGTTGAGAGGTACCAACTAGATATAGTTGGGCTCACCTCCACCCACAGTATCGGCTCTGGAACCAAACTCCTGGATAGGGGTTTGTCCCTCTCCTACTCCGGGGTTGCACAAGGTGAGAGGCGCCGGGCGGGTGTGGGGATACTCACGAGTCCCCGGCTGGCGGCAGTGCAGTTGGAGTTTGTCCCGGTGGACGAGAGGGTCGCCTCAATGCGTATTAAAATTGCAGAGAGGAAAACTCTGACTGTTGTGTGTGCTTATGCACCAAACAACAGGTCGGAGTATTCGGCCTTCTTGGAGCAAGTGGGCGGGGTTCTGGAAAGGGTCCCGACTACAGACTCCATAGTCTTACTGGGAGACTTCAATGCTCATGTTGGCAATGACTGGGAGACCTGGAGAGGCGTGATTGGGAAGAACGGCCTGCCCGATCTAAACCCGAATGGTGAATTGTTATTGGACTTCTGTGCCAGGCATGGATTGTCCATAACGAACGCCAAGTTCGAACACAAGGATGTTCGTAAGTGTACATGGTACCAGAGCTCCTTGGGTCAAAGGTCAATGATTGACTTTGTTGTCGTTTCATCTGACTTGGGACCATATGTTCTGGACACTCGGGTGAAGAGAGGTGCTGAGCTGTCAACTGATCACCATCTGGTGGTGAGTTGGATCAGATGGCAGGGAAGACTGAGGGTTAGACCCGGTAGGCCCAAGCAAATAGTGAGGGTGTGCTGGGAACGACTGTCGGAGGCCCCTGTTCGGAATGATTTTAACTCCCACCTCCGGGAGAGCTTTTCTCATGTCCCAGAGGAGGTAGGGGTCATAGAGTCTGAATGGACCCTGTTCAAAACCTCCATTGTGGAAGCTGCCAGGTGCAGCTGTGGCCAAAAGCTTGTTGGTGCCTGTCATGGCGGTAACCCAAGAACCCCCTGGTGGACACTGGTGGTGAGGGAGGCCGTCAAGCTGAAGAAAGAGGCCTTTAGGGACTGGATGGCCCGAAGGACTCCTGATTCAGCAGATAGGTACCGACAGGCAAAAAAGGTGGCAGCTGCAACGGTGGCAGAAGCAAAATCCAGGGTGTGGGAGGAGTTTGGTGAGGCCATGGAAAAAAAAGACGTTCGGTCGGCCTCGAGGAGGTTCTGGACAACTGTCCGGCGACACAGGAGTGGTCGGGGTGGCTGCGCCCAGGCTGTATTCAGCAGGGGTGGAGAAACTCTGACTTCAAATGAGGATATTGTCGGTCGGTGGAAAGAGCACTTTGAGGAACTCCTTAATCTGGGTGACATGCCTCCCTCACGGGAGTCAGGGCCAGAGGCCTCTGGCGTGTCAAGCTCCATTTCCCTGGTGGAGGTCACTGAGGTAGTTGGCAAGCTCTTCAGTGGCAAGGCACCGGGGGTGGATGAGATTCATCCGGAGATGCTTAAGGCTCTGGATATTGTGGGGCTGTCATGGCTGACACACCTCTGCAATAGTGCATGGACCTCGGGAACAGTACCCTTGGACTGGCAGACCGGGGTGGTGGTCCCTATTTTCAAGAAAGGGGACCGGAGGGTGTGTGCCAACTATCGGGGTATCACACTGCTCAGCCTCCCTGGGAAAGTCTATGCCAAGGTGCTGGAAAGGAGACTTCGACCGATAGTTGAACCTCAGATTGAGGAGGAACAATGCGGATTCCGTCCTGGCCGTGGAACAATGGACCAGCTTTTCACCCTCTCACGGATTGTTGAGGGGGCATGGGAGTTTGCCAACCCAGCCTACATGTGTTTTGTGGATTTGGAGAAGGCTTACGACCGTGTTCCCCGAGATATCTTGTGGGAGGTCCTCCGGGAGTATGGGGTGCCGGGGTTACTACTCCGGGCCATTCAATCTCTGTACGCCCGGAGTGAGAGCTGTGTTCGTATACTCTGCATTAAGTCGGACTCTTTCAGTGTTAGTGTTGGACTCCTCCAGGGTTGTGCCCTTCTCCACTCCTGTTTGTGATATTTATGGACAGGGTGTCAAGGTGTAGCCGGGGTCAGGAGGGCATTATGTGTGGAGGCCGGAGGGTGGCGTCTCTGCTATTTGCAGATGATGTTGTTCTTTTGGCTGGATCACATGGATGCCTCCAGCGCACACTGGAGCGGTTTGCAGCTGAGTGTGAAGCGGTTGGTATGTGGATCAGCACCTCCAAGTCTGAGTCCATGGTCTTAGCCTGGAAAAGGATGGTATGCCCACTCCAGGTAGGGGGAAAGGACTTGCCCCAGGTGGAGGAGTTTAAGTATCTCGGGGTCTTGTTCACGAGTGATGGGAAGAAGGATCGTGAGATCGACCGCAGGCTGGGACAAGCGGCAGCAGTAATGCGGTCGCTGTACCGGACTCTGTTTACCGATCGGTCTACATCCCGACCCTCACCTATGGTCATGAGCTGTGGGTAATGACCGAAAGAATGAGATCGCGAATACAAGCGGCAGAAATGAGCTTTCTTCGCAGGGTGGCAGGCTACACTCTATTTGATAGGGTGAGGAGCTCGGCCATCCGGGAGGAGCTCAGAGTAGAGCCGCTACTCCTCTGCATTGAGAGGAGCCAGCTGAGGTGGTTTGGGCATCTGATCCAGATGCCCCCTGGACGCCTCCCGGTGGGGGTGTACCAGGCACGGCCTACCGGAATAAGACCCCGGGGTCGTCCTAGGACCCGCTGGAGGGATTATATCTCCAAGTTGGCCTGGGAGCGGCTTGGGGTCCCCGAGAATGAGCTGGAGGAAGTTGCGGGGGACAGGGTCGCCTGGGATTCTCTGCTCTCCCAACTGCTACCGCGACCCTATCTGGACTAAGCGGTTAACGATGATGATGATGATGATGATGATGAACTCCGCTGAGCTCTCTGGGCCCAAGCTCATCTCAGATGGTCTAAATGATCATGTGTCCTGTGGTCAGATGAGACCACCTTTCAGCTTGGAACCATCCAGCCTTTTAACTGTTAAATATGCAAAAGGCAAAATTTGTTATGGTATGGTGGCATATCAGTGCCCACAGCATGGGTGACTTACATAGGTGTAAAGATACCATTGATGCAGAAGCATATATGGGGATTTTAGAGAAACATATGCTGCCATCAAGACAACGTCTTTTCCCCTAAGCCCATGGTTATTTTAGCAAGAAGTCCTAGGCCTCATTCTGCATGTGCTACAACAACGTGGCTTTTCAGACACAGAGTGCATGTACTTGAAAGGCCTTCCTGCAGTCCAGATCTGTCTCCTATTAAAATGTATGGAGTATGATGAAGCGGAGAATAAGACAACAATCTCCACGGGATGTTGAGTAGCTGAAGTCTTGTATAAAGCAAGATATAAACGTGCCTTTATCCCAACTTTTTTGAGACATCAGGTTTTATTTTATTTCTTTTATAGTCACAAAGTGCAATTAAGTTGGTCAATGAAAACATTTGAAATCTTTTTTTTTTTTGACCATTTGTCAGTTTCGCAAAGTTTCAAGAAAATTAACAAATCACACATTCTTGTTTTTATTGCATTGAACAAAATGTCCCAACTGTTCTGGAAATGGGGTTTGTAGACAAACTAATTATAGCACACTTTTACAAAAAAAAATCACATATACTTCACATGTGAAGTGTCCAAAAACAACATGATCACACAAACATAGAACATTAAGTGAATGTCATTTGTTTGTTTGTTTTTTTGTTTTTTTTTAATCTAAGCACATTTTCACATAATAAATTTTCTCTTATATATGGAAAGAATAATATTATAAGGTTTTTTGTATAGAGCTATTAACTCTACTGCCTTTCAGTCAAAGCATCTAAGAAATTATGAATATTATATGCTTTATTTACTGTGCATTATCATCCTGAGCTGGGGGTTTATACATAAACAAGAAAATATTTTAATATAATTAGAATTTTCTGCCTTTTTGTTCTCATTGGGCAAAAATTGTTTGTGTGGTGAGTAGAGACATGCTTTATAGTGAAGGTTGTTGAAGTGTTAGTTGTGTTTATGTGATTTCTGCATTCTAATGTGGCAAGCACATGAAAATAATGGTGTTTAAATGGTTTTATTATTGTTTTGAATCATCATGATGTGGAAGCATTGGAATAGGTGACTTCGCTGCTTTTTGCAAAAGGCTATAGACTGATATTATGACATTACAGGATATAGCACATTTGGAAATACGTTGACCTCCCCACTTTTTCACAGGCCTACCCAAAACATGCCTTCTGCCTTCACCAATGGATTAGAGTGAGAAATGGGTTTGTATTTACGGTTGAGGTTCATGATAGTGTTATAATGTGTGTTAGGATTAGGATTAGGATTAGGTTAGGTTAATACAATAAAAAGACCAAGAAATATCAACAAAGCATCTATAGGGGACCATTAAAATTAAGGATACAGTAATATGTTGTATATTGTAATAATATAGTGTAAAGTGCTAACAGCATTTCTGTATTAAATCCTCTCTTTCTGCAGTTGGCCTGTGCAGTGATGGCAGGTGTTCTACACTTCCTCTTCCTCTCTGCTTTTGTGTGGATGTTCATTGAGGCACTGATGCTCTTCATCGCTGTAAAGAACCTGTCACGTCCCAAATCAAAGCAGAAGCAGCTGCTTAACTGGAAGCTTTTAACTGTGGTTGGGTACATGGTAGCTTTGCTTGTGGTAGGCGTGTCTGCTGGAGTGGTACCTGAAGGATATGGCAGTGAACAGTGAGTGAGGAGAGTAATATTAATTTTGTGAATTCAGACTAGTTTCATTAGGTATTGTGAGGTGTAATTTGGTTGGACTTCAACGTTCAGCAGTGCTATAAAAGTGCCAAGAAGTTAGACTTGAAATTATACTTGAAAGTCTGGGTAATTCATCAAAGAGTATCTGCATTTAAACATATTTGGATACATAAAAGTAAGAAGGCAATATTTTAACAGATGAATTCAATTTACTTTTTTGTGGTGTGAGATGTGGTGGAGTGGTGACTAATTGATGGTAGTGGCCCTCGCACAAAGACAAATTGTCACAGCTGTGGGCAGTTTTACACACTGATATGAATTTGCTTGGATGTTTTAACAAAACAATACATTTAAATGTAAATGAATTAATCTGATTGGTGAGAGAAAAGAAGGAAAATCTCCTGATCTTTGAGTTTTTTAATACAACTCTAAATGCATGGCAAGTAATAATCTTCCTTTTGGAAATGTAACTGGGAAAATGTAGAAACATTCAACCTTTAAGAATAAAGCATTCAAGTTTAATTTGTAAAGTACAAATCTTCACATTACAATTAGTCAAGTATTTATCACCCCCATTCCTCTCTTTAGATGCTGGCTTAAGCAGGACAAAGATGTCAAGTGGAGTTTTCTGGGTCCTGTTTCTTTTATTCTTGCAGTAAGTGCTGAGAAACCTACCTGTCACAGTCACAGTTAAATCAGAGTACATTTGTTCAAGACTTGTTTTTGGATAGTCACCAATCTTCACTACTACATTCTAAAACTGCTGCAACGACTTCAGCGGCTGTAAAATATTTTATTGCCATTTCATATGTCTCTGTTGTTTACGATTGAAGAATGAAAGGTTTCTGATGTGATGGGTCAGTCTTTAGTGATTTCCTGAGTGTCCATTTGTCAGTTTCACACAAAATGTAGGATGTGAGTGACGTATGATGTCACGTTAAGATGGAAGGGAAAGGGCGACTCTACAGATTCAGGGAATGAACCGTATTTCTGCAGTGTAGTATCACAAAGATAGAGAAACACTTATAGGAACATTGACTTTGACACATGAATTAGTTCATCAACTCCAGAGGTTTCAATTTGATCCTAAGGTAATTTACATTTGTTTACAATTGCAGTCCAACACAATCCTCTTCAGTTTGATTGCTATCAGCCTGGGATATTCTCTGACTCACCTGAACAGTCAAGTTTCACAAATAAAACAAACCAGGTAACATTCACTCTACAACTTCACCAGCCTTTTTTGGGTCTGTAACAACATAAGCATTTAGTTTTTTGTCAAAAATATCATGCATGGTTATGTTTATTATCAAGACTGATTCTGATGTTATAGGCAGATAGTGTGATTGAGATATTGACATATTGAGACTAAACTAAAATTCTACTATTTACAGTAGTGAGTGAGCTCTACTTTATGAAATGTACTTTTTGATTTTAATTACAAACAAGTCTAATATTAAAAAGGTCTTAAAAGGCCATTGATTGGCATATTTTCTTTATTTTATTTTCCCATGATACAAAGTTTATTACTTGGTTTCTTAAGATCCCAAGTTATTCATACCATGATCACAACATGGCAAACATCGTTTCCTAGTAATAGAGAAATTATTTTCTTGAGATCTCATAACAAAAATGCAACACTATTTAATTAATCCCAGTTTTTAATGAATAGCTGGTTAATTACCAACTACTGGCTCTTACTATCATTATAAATGTGTTATAATGCAAATCTGTACTGAAATGTTTGAACAGAGAACACCCTAAATTTCTAATCCAAACAGAAACAAACTTCAGCAGGACGGCTCAAAGGTCAAAAGGTTCCTTTACTCACCTCTCTCTCTCTTTTTCTCTCTGTAGGACTGTTTTCTTTAAAACCATGGCCCAGTTTGTCATCCTCGGCTGCCCCTGGATTCTGGGTTTCTTCACCGCCGACAGTAAGGCTCTGGAGATTATTTTTGTGATCCTCATCTCTCAGCAGGGCACCTTCATCTTCATCGTCCACTGTGTCCTCAGTAACGAGGTCAGCCATCACCAAACTACCTTCCACACTGACATCAGAGAAAGCTGTATGACGTTTATGATGGAGCCTTAGACCTTACAACATCACCCAAATGCATAACATGTGATCTGATCATTTCTGTCCAAAGCACACATTGGCCTCATGGGGTCTGCACAGTTGTGTCTTTTGTAAAGACGTCAGTGAGGTGTAACATATTGAGTTTTTAACTGAAAAGCAGGTGGTTCCAGCTTCCTATATGAGAGACCCTCTTACTGCTTTACATGTTCTACCAGTAAACTACCTTGACCTTCAGACATGTTCATGCATCTGACTGCAGTTTTCTCAGGGTTGGGATAGCTACTGAAAAATTAGTAGGTAGCTACTTTCCCAAAAGTTGTAGCTAGCTACAATTTAGCTACCTTTCCAGAAAGACTAGTGACTACTTTTTAGCTACTTTCAAAGCGCAGAATGTTTGTAAATATCAACCTGACACACCAAACACGCCCAACTGATTATTATGTGGCAGAAAGAAACAATTGAAAAGCTGCAAATGCCAAAAAGTACGTTTAAATGTAACCGACAAAGTTACACATCCAAAGACGTGATATACAAGAAAAAATTTAGACCAAAGGTAAAGTCAATAATTCCGGGTTTTTCCTTATAAAAATCAACAAAAAAATACAAGGTGTACCCCTTTATTACTGTGGATGTTCTTATCCTATCAAAAAAAGCAGGTGAAGAGGGGGACTATCCTACCAGAGTAAAGTGGGTGGAGAAGGTTCTGCTGCAGAACTTTTTGTATAGCCAAACCAATTTATGTGGTGTGTAATTAGAGCTCTGTACAATCAAAATATTTAAGATTTTAAATGATTGAAAATTGACGTGAATTATGACCTCATTGCATAGAACCTGGAAAAAAAAAAAATATCACTGAAACCGAGACTGTGACCTCGACTCTCTTTCAGGGCAAAAATGGAGAACAGGACAGATTTAACACTAAAGTTTTGGTAGCAAAAAGATAGCTAAACATGAACTATTACAGTGAAATTTAGTATGAGTTTCTTCTCTACTCTGTTGAGTAGGGAAAGCCTATTAGGCATTTCATTTAGTCTATTGTAGTACTTACACCAATTTTACCCCAAATAGTTACAAAGTACTTTTATCGAGTTTTTGTATCACAGCTACCCTGTTACTGTTTATAAGACTTTTTAAAATTAATTAATTCATTCATTCATTCATTCATTCATTCATTTATTTATTTATTTATTTTTATAGTGTATATTTTTTGTATATTTTTATAGTTCAGGATCTCTTGTACTTAAGCATGGACAACCATGCAGGATGAACAATGCTTTTTTAATCTCACTTTGTCCTGACTGTACACACTGTCTGATGCTGTTTAATGTCTATTTCCAGGTAAAGCAAAAGTACATGAATCTGCTGGGTGGTTTTCAGGCTAATTTCTCTCCAACTACCATTATCACTGAAACCAACACCACGCAAGGATGAAATCCTGATCTACATGCCAGTTGACACAGTAGCTATGAAAATATTATTGCGATGTCCAATAGGATAAAGGTTTAAGTATTCCAATGTACTTTCTCAAAAAACGTGACTCTTATACAAATATGAAAAGGTGCATTTATGCAAAAGTTCTTCCTTTTCTGTGGGAAAGTTATGCTGTTTTTTTAAGTGGTGTTACAATGGCAAATACAGCATATTTTATTTTTATGTAATTTTACACATTTATTTTTTATTGTGTCGATTATTTTTTATGATGCATCATGACGTCTGTGACTGTTATTCTGATGGTGACTAATGGTTGATTTTACACTGTATTTATCATAATTTTATACATATCCTGTATAAAAAAGTTGTGACGATGTGTTGAATTGAACTAGAAACAGTGATTTCAGTATTATTTTTTCCTGTATTTTATTGAAAATAATAACCAGCATATTATTCAGTGTTTTACCTCATAAATGTTTAAAAATAAACACATTTAATTTTGATTCTTGCAACACATTTAAAAAAGTTGGGACAGTAAAGCATTTACTGCTTTCTAATGTTGCCATCACTTTTCACAACACTTAAAAGACATTTAAGGACTGAAGACACCAAGTGATAAAGCATTTCAGGTGTACTTTTGTCCCATTCTTCCTGCAAACAGGTTTTAAGCTGTGGAATGGTATGTGGTCTTCACTGTCGGATTTTGCATGTTAAATGCACCACACACTCTACTGGGGACAGGTTGGGATTGCAGGCAGACCAGTCCAGCACCTGCGCCCTCTTCTTCCACAGCCATGCCTCTGTAATGTGCCATATGCTTTTACATCAGCTTGTTGAAATAAATATGGGGGTCCACAGAAAATGTCATCTTGAAGGCAGCATATGCTGCAAAAACTCTTTTTTTGTTTTTACTTTCAATTTTCAGCATGAAGAGTGCCATCAGAGAAGTTACCTGTAAGTTACATTTTCCAAGGGTACTAACACAACTCCACACCAAGACAGACCCTGGCTTTTGAACTCGTTGCTGGTAACAGTCTGGGTGGTCCTTTTCATCCTTTGTCTGGAGCACATGGCATCCATTTCTTCCAAAATAGACCTGAAATACAACCACAATACATGTTTTCACTGTGTGATGCTCCTTTCTAGATATCTCCGAGCCCAGAGAAGTCAACGGCGTTTCTGCACATGGTTAATCTAAGGGCTTACTTTCAGCACAGTCAAGTTTTAACTAGCATTTGTGGATGTAACTATGTAATGTAGTGCTTGATTAAGGTTTGCCAAAGTAATTCTGAGCCCACTGTGGTTATTTTGCCTATAGATGAAAGTTCTTGATGCAGGGGCGCCTGAGAGATCGGAGAACTCAGGTTTTCGGCTTAGGTTTGCACCCTTTACACACAGAAATTTCTCCACATTCTTTGAATCTTTTAATTATGTTATGAAACAGAGAGTGGAATTTCCAAATACCTTTCTGTTTTTCTTTGAGGAACATTGTTTTGAACATTGTAAAAATTCTCACATATTTGTTGGCAAACTGGTGATCCTCAGCTCTTTTTTGTTCCTCAAGGACTAGGCCTTTTCTCAGATGTTTCTTTTGTACCAAATTGTGTTGCAGGCCTGAATGGCAGGAACAGATGTATATTTACAAATGAATGAAGTTGACCAGACAAAACATGAAATGTCTTATGTTCATACTGTCTGCAGTGAAATACAAAGTAAATGTAGAAATTTTATTTGCATTTAAGGTACCATCCCAACTTTTTCTGATTTGGGGCTGTAAAGTAATTTGATATAGATGTGGTGTGTTGGGATCCCACAGCACATTTGAAACCAAGTAAATGTTGAGCAAAATCAGAAAAGTAAGGATCTTATGATAAAAGCTATCAATGATATAGCATTTACAATCATGATTCCTCTGCAAGCAACCCTTCGCTGCATGTGTAGCTCACTTTCCAACTTAAACACACACCATAGAGCTTACAAATGTAACTCAGGAATTAGCTTCAGAAACTTTCTATGTATGACTAATGTGGAAAGTGTGTTCAAACATTCTAATAAAGTAAATTCAATTAATCTCTTTTGTCAGTTTTGATTGTCCCAGTACTTATGAAACACCACTTACCATTTAGAGACCACTTATATCTAATTTCCAGTCAAAATGGCCACTAATTTTTCAGAAGAAGTTTCTGAGGAGATTACACAGAATACACTCACATCTGTTCCTTTTTCTGTTGTCACTTAGTGTTTTCAAATATAGTTCATTTTAAAAAGAACCAAACAGAGTTCTGTTGAAGTGAACCTGGAAGGGAACCAACTGCAAATGACCTCAGTTCATTTTGTGCTCACAATGTAAGTGAACTACAAAGAGTTTTCTTTCTGGTCCTTTGAGATCTCAGACCTCTTCTTGTTCAGACCACAACTCCTTTCACAGCACTCACGGTGTGCGCATGCGTGCACAAAGTGGGCAGCATTCTCTGATAAATCTGACCTTTCAGGTGGTGAGAGGAACCACCAGACCTGCATGCTGCTCTCTTGGCTGCGCTGAAATGATTAGCCAAAAAAGTGTATCGCTCAAAATTGGAAAAATGACTGTTGTGTGTCTGGGCTCCGTTTTCGACAGATAGTCTAACTTTGGTTCGTTTTTTGCGCCGTTTTAAGGGGTCTGAGTTCGTTTGGCATGTTCACATATGTAGATGAAACCATGATTCAGCAGTCTTAGTCCACTTCAGATGCTGAAATGGCTGAAGTGTGAAAACGTTTTGTTCAGAGCAAAGTGAACTTCATATCAATTTACAGTTTAATTGTGGTTCAGTTTTCCACTGTTTAGGTTATTAGTATCTGTTTAGTGAAGTTGTAAGCTTCAGTGTTTTCCCTGCTCTGACATGTTCACTTAGCTCACGTAATGTTGTGATAGGAGGATATGATGCTACAGTCCCAGAGGATTAGAAATGTCCAGCCACCGTTGCTCTCAGTGGACGTCATTAATGAAAACTGATCTTATTGTCATGTTCGCCCTGCATTCACAAGTTTTATATTCAGAGGAGTTTACATCATGAAAAATTGTTACTGAATTATTGAAAGTAATAAATAAATTCTGATGAATCTTATTTTGTCCACTAAGGTAGCTATTCCAAAATCCATTACTTGCTTAATGGAAAACATTGTCAAATTTAAGCAAATAAGACAAATTTGATTATTATTAATACTTAATCACGATTAAAGTGTTTAATCACAAGTAATTATTTGATGTGTTCAACAGCCCCAGCTATAATCCACCTTTATTCATATTATCATGCAGCCATGCAAAACATGTTTAAACATACACAAAACATATAGCTATAACATCAACATTGCTTTTATAGACTTTGCTGTTTACTTGTTATTTTAAAAATGCATATATATGTTTATACACTTTGCAGGTTGCAATAAGGCACAAAAATAAATGTATTGGCACATGACCGATATAGTGTATTAAGAAATAAAAGAACTGTGTTCTTGCTAGGAGCTATGTGTACCTCTTTGCTTTCCTAGTTGTCTGTGGTCCTAAATAAATCAAGGGTCATCATGCACTGTTTATTAACTGTTTATTAATCATAGTTCTTTATCCCAGCAGGAAATATCATTTTACAGTCTCTATTTATTTTTAGAAATCACTTTAAATGTTGTGTTAGTTTCCCAAAATACACCCTTCTGGAATAATTTCAAGATATCTGAAAATGCAATTTTAAAAGTGTACATATTTACAATTTAACTACAGCAAAACTTCAGAACAAATGGCCCATTTGCTGAATAATGTTTAATATATTAGTACAAAACATATTTTGCTATAAGAAAGGTCTCACTTTATATTGTGTCATTAATAATTGTGTAATTATGCATTAACAGCACATCTAAGAACAATGTAACTACCGGTGATGTTTTCAGCATTACAGACAAATTACAGTAGTACAGCTTATTACACATGTGTATCTTGGTAGCTGTAACAGCATATTTTGTCTGTTTAATTACACATGTGTAACAGGCAGAAGGTAATTACATTTATATCAACTGCTGTTTTCCAACAAGACTTTTCTGATTGTGGAGGTATGTAATTACCTTCATTATGAGAGCACTTACACTGCATTTGCCCAGGAAATAGCAAGGTTCCTAACATTTAGCTAGCTGGAGTAGCATGCTTGTGTTGTGACAACCTAACCAAAGTTGTGGTTTTACACCTGTAAAGTAACAATATTTAATGCTGAGAGAAAATATGCTGTTACAAACTATGAAGATACACTTTTGTATTTCCACAAGCTGTAGTACTGTAATCTGCCTGTAAAAGTGAACACATCACCAGCAGTTACTGTTTTGTTGCTTGTGTTGTTAATATGTAACTACACAGTTATTAGAGACACATAACATGAAACCAAATGAGGACCAAAAGATCTTAGAAAGACATGAATCCA